CTGCCCTGCCCTCCCCTCCCCTCCCCTGCCCTGTCCTGCCCTGCCCTGCCCAGCCCGGGGGCACGAGGTAAAGTCTCCAGGAGCCGTGACCTCACCTGCTCCATGGGGTCTCGGGCACCAGCAGCGTCCCGGCGCCATGACCCAGGCCCCAGCTTTGGCCAGGTGGCTCCTGAGGTGATCGAGGACACGCTGATCCATTTGGCCACGGAGAACGAGCAGCGCCTGAGTGAGCTGCCGGGCCAGGCCGGGCGCTTCAAGGAGAGACAGATCGTGGGTGAGGCAACTGTTGGGCTGCAGCTGACTCCTGAGGTGGTTAACAGCTGTGCAATCAGCTTCAGTTGGCTGTAGTGACTGACTGTTGTGTTCTGTTTTCAGAATTTATATTCCTTTTGTCTGAAAAATGGCACTTGGACCCATCAGCAAGGTACCGAGCAGTGGAGTTGTTTGAAAGGTAACACACACTGAGAGCTCAGGGCATTTCCCTCGTGGTTACACTGTGCGTGCCCTGTACCTCTCACTCAAACAATGCATAATGTTTTCTGTGTGTGTCTAGAGCACTTTACTAATTGAATTCAGAAGAGCAGCTGCCCATATGTGCCACAGAATGGCTTTTCTTCTTTCTTTTTCTTAGCAGAAAAGAACTGTTGTTTGACCAATTGTGGTTTTTGTAGGTTTATGATCAAGCAAGCAGACCAAATCTGTAAGGCCTTCAGGGAGAAGGTGAAAAGCTGTGAACAAGGAGAAAGCAGCTGGAGCTCCTGGAAGGATCAGATGTACAAGGCGTTTGTCCTGCGGCTCGTGTCGTGCGTCCAGCTCGCCAGCAAACTGTCCTTGCACTATAATGTGAGCCAGACAAACCTTGCCCAGTAGCATTTCTTAGCACTGTAGTAAGTTGTGCAGTGTGTTAATCTCTCTTGAAAAACAGATTTCTGCTCTGAAAGACAACAGTGATAATGAAATGCGAAGGAGATTGAAAGAGAGACCTAAATATCTTCTGTTCACTTATCAAGTAGCAATTTGTCAGGAAATGTTCCTAGTAGTGGGGAAAACAGTACAGGCAGTGGCAAAGTTCAGCCTGTGGTTGTGGAAAATTGTGAGGCTGAAGAGGGTTCAGAGCTGTCTGGGGAAGGTTTGTGGAGGAGATCTGCAGGAGGGAAGGTGGAAGCTGGATCTCACTCCAGCTGAACAGAAGAAGTGGATGAGGGGAGGAGGCAGCACTGGTGACTCTGCTTAAATCCAGTGGGACAAGTAAAGCAGGAGTGTGCTTTGTTCTCACCAAGGGCCAAACTGCCTAGAAAATAATTTGTTGTGGTTTTTTTTCCTTCTCAGATAGTTAACAGTGACACAGCTTTAAAATTTCTGCAGTCCTTAAAATACTCCTGCACGAAGCAGGAATTGCTTGAGTCAGAGCTCGCTGTTTTAAAAACTCTGCATTTCCAGATCAACCTGTCAACTCCTCTGGCTTATGTGGAATTGCTTCTAGAGGTTTTAGGTGAGAGTATTAAAGAGAGAGGATGGGAAATCATTTTTCAAGAGCATAATAGAGCTGTTACTGATCTGAACCAAAATGTCTCATATTACAGATTTTTGCACACCATGAAGGCAGGTGGAATTTTTCAGCTTGTCCAGGGCTTTGTTTTTCCTATGAGAACTTTGTCCTTAGCAGAATCTGGTGAATGTTGCTGGACAACTAGTTGTGCCTCAGCCAGTAAAAGAGTTTAAAATCCCCAAAGCCTGATGTAAGGCCACTAGTTCTACCATGACTTTCCTTTCTCTTTGCTCAGGTCTGACAATGTGTGTTTCAGAATGAGTGAAATGACACTGAGGCTGAGGAAGCCCATGGTGTGGGTGGGCTGTGGTGGCAGAAACACAGGGCAGTTGTCACCAGAAATCAGCATCCCTCAGTCACAGTGACCAGACCTCTTTCTGATCAATGTAATGTCTCAAAACGTGTGGCTGATGATGTGATCTCTGCAGGGCACAATGGCTGCCTGCTGCCTGCCAGGCCACTGCACCAGATGTGTGTGCAGATCCTGGACTTCTCCTACCTGACACGGGACTCCATCTATGACACTTTGCTGAAGATTGCCATCGAAAATTCAACACCCAACAAGCTGCAGGTGTAAGTAGCTCATGTCACTATTACTTAAAATAACTAGTTGAAACTAGACCTCTAAAAAACCCCAAGAAATAGCAGCGTAATTCCCATTATGCCATTTCTGGGGCATGTTTTTTTAAAAACTAATTCTGGGGGCTCACAGGAGTTGCTTATTATACTTATGTAGCTTGCTGTAGGGGTGAGGACAGTGTTTCACTGAACTGTAACAATCCAGCAGCGTCAGGCTTGCTCAGTCCACCCATCAGGCTGAGGAAGTGAATGTGTCCATGGGCTGAGCACTCAGTACAGAGACTGGTGCTTTTGGTGCTTTTTAACTGTAAAACTTTCATCATTTTTCACCAGAAGATGCTTTTATTTCTGCAGAGCAAAGTTTCTGTCGGTAAAAGAAGATTCCATGCTCTTGGCTGTTGGAATCATCAGCACAAGCGTGTTCACCCTGGACCCCAGGCACTGGAGGCAGGTAGGGTCCCTCCAAACCCCAACAGGCTGGTTCCTGTGCTGGGCACATCCAGCACACAGGGCAGCAGTGGGAGGGAGGTGGCACTGGCGGTGCTCCAGGAAGTGTGTGTGTGTGAGAGCAGCCTGGGGGCACTCGGGCAGGTCTGTGGGGAGGCTCCTGCCTGTGCTCCCTGTCCTCATACCCACCTCCTTCACAGCCAAAACAAAGCCCATACATTGTTTCACTGGCTGGTGGAGAAGTAATCCCACATCTGCCCAAACTGTCACAGAATTTCCTTGGTTGGTAAAGACCTTAAACATCACAGAGTCCAACCATCCACCTAACACTGACGACTCCTTAACTAAACTATATCCCCAGGTACTGTGTCAGTAGGACTTTTAAATACCCCACAAAACCAACCGAACAAGCAAAAAACCATGTGGAGAGACTTCAACTTCTGTCAAAGACCCACAAGCATATGCCCAGGGAGCAACATTGTCCCTGTTAGATTTCATGGAATTGTCAGAGTTGGATGGACCCTTTAGAGATCATTCAGTCCAAACCCCCTGCTAAAGCAGGGTCCCCTAGAGCCCATTCCACAGGACTGCATCCAGGAGGGTTTGAATATCCCCAGAGAAGGGGACTCCACACCCTGATAGGCAGCCTGTCCCAGGACTCTCTCACCCTCACCATAATTATTATTTTTTTTCATATTTAAATGGCACTTCCCATGTTCCAGCTTGCGCCCATTGCCCCTCATCCTGTCACAGGGAACTACTAAAAAGTGTCTGGCTCCATCCTCCTTGCCTCCACCCTTTAGATACTTAAAGGCATTAATAAGGTCTCCCCTCAGCCTTCTCCTCTCCAGACTGAACAGTCCCAGCTCCCTCAGCCTTTCCTTATCAGGGAGATGCTCCAACCCCCTAGCCATCTTTCTTGCCCTCCCTAGACTCTCTCCAGCAGTTCCCTCTCTTGAATTGGGGAGCCCAGAACTGGACACAGTAAAGATTTGGAGGGTTAGGAAGCATGTCTGTAAGCTCAAGTCTCTTGGGCACTGTATCTGCTTTATTTTTTTAAGGTTGTGGAGCATTTAACCTGTATCACAGGCATCACTTCACAGAGTATCCTAGAACTGTCCTATGCGGTGCTGGAGGAGGTGGTTGGCAGTGCCACACCAAAGCAGCACCATGGCAACGGGGGCACACAAGCTCTCAAGAACACAATTATGACTCTTAAATAGAACCATCTTCATGGCTCTTAAAACAACCCCAGTACACCGGTAACAGCCCATCCTCTACATGTAAGTTGGTTTTCTTTTCAGATTTGAACAGGTTCTGTCATGGTTTGTGTCTTGGGTGTTCCTTGGGAAAGCTCTTCCCTTCAGGCAGTGAACTTGGTGCTGTGAAAGGAGTGGAGGAACATTCAGAAATGCCTCTTCTCAGCACCAAAAGTTGGGCCTTCTTTCTCCACTTGCTGCTAACACTTTTCTGCAGCCTGTTCTTGCACAGGGGTGCGGCACGTCCATGTATTCCTGTGCAAGAAAAGGCTGCAAGACATTATCCTGCCAACCCTCAACAGTATCAAGCCAGAACAAGCAAGTGCTGACATGACCTAAAAAATACTTAATATTAAAACTGCATAGTCTCTGCAAGTTCCTTCACTTTGTTCCCTGTGTTTGTAGCTTTTTGCTTCTCTAGCCCAGGTGTGAAGCTGTAACAGGAGTCCCAAAGTCACTGGTGTTCTCAAGACTCATTTATACATGTATCTAGAAACCCCAAAAGTATCAGTTCAGCTTCTATTTAACACCTGATTTTTTTTTTATTTTTCTGTTCAGGTCCATGATATAACTTTACATATTGCTTTTCTATAGACTACTTGTAATAATGGTATTTTAAATAAAGTGTCTTGTGGATTTTTGGTATTGTAAACATTTTGTACTGGTTAATATTAAGAGACGTCTTGATCTGACTTTCTCTGACGCGGTGCAGACACTCCACAGCTGCCAGGACGAGTTCTCCACACGGTTACTTGTTGTAGAACTGGGATGAGACCCAGGCGAGACCCCACTTCAGGTTAGTTAACATGAATTTTAGTGCTTTTGTCCATTGCTCCTCTGAGTTAAACTGTGTTTTAATTGAGTAGGAGCCACCGCTGCCACCGGTGTCTTCAATCTTTCCTTTCTCCACATCCATCCTGCGTCACACACAGGCTGTGTTAGTGCGTTGTTATTATGAGTATTTAATCTCAATACATCAAGTATTAAAATTTAAACCTGACATTTGTATTATTCTCTGTAAGGAAAGCTTGTTTTTTTAATAGAAATCTAGTGAGTCTTAGGTCTTCGCCTGAGGAATCAGCTTTAAATTAAACAAACAACAAATGTGGCAGTCCTGCAAATTATAAGGAAGAGGATGACTCCAGGACAGGACTGAACTAGACAGGCTGTGCCCTGCCTCAGGGGTCGGTCAGTGCTGCAGGGGGTTGGGGTGCTGTGTTAATGCTGCTGAGGGCTTGGTCTGGGGTGCTGTACAGCAAAACTCACCTGTAAGGCAAACAGAACCGGGTTTCACCTTTCTCCACTTCCTCCTTGAACTGCTGCACGCAGTCCAGGAAAGCCACCATTGCGTGATCAAACTTATTGTCCCAGAAGAATCTCAGGCCTCCTGAGCAGTACAGGGGGAGCTCCTGGAAGAGAGATGTGTCTCAGGCACCCCAAGCACACTGTTTCAGATATGGTCACTGCAGTTCCTCAGTCTTGGGCAAGACTTAAATTGGTCACGGGATGCTTGGAAATGGTTTGTGGCATGTGGTGAGTGCAGGTTGGGGTTCCTATCACCAACAACCTCCCAAATTACACTGTCTGCGTCTGGCTGTGCTGTCCAGTTCTAGGTTTGTCTGGTTTTTATTGCTACTGGATGGCAGAACCAATGCCTTGATGTAGGGTGTGGAGTGAGATGATTGTGTTGGAGATGTTGGGGTAGCGAACCCATTCATCTTGTTTGTGTCCCCCAGTGTGACTGGATCTCTGCAGTGTTCCAGGTCTGTGTCCCCTGGGAGCAGCAGCTCTTACCTTGGATTTGTCCGTCAGCGACTCCAGGTATGAGTGGTTGCCATAGGGTACCAGCCGGTACCTGAAAGGATCCACAGGCTCATGAGTCCAGCTGTTGACCCAGGTCACAGGGCACGTGTCTTGTATCATGTACGAAATGGGAACCGTGTGTGACACAGCACGTACCTTTGGAACTTGAGCCCCATTTTGTTGGCGAGGGCGTGGAGCAGCAGCACCGTCTGCCCCCAGGCCGCGTTGATCTCGTTCCACTCCACGGGAACGCTGGGGAGACGGCCAAGCCTGAAGTTATTTATTGTGCCAAACTGACCACTGTGCCTGTGGTAAGAGGAATTGAGTGAGTGCACGGTGGCAGGAACAGTCTCTGGCACAAGCACACAAGAGGCCACATGCTGACAGGTATGGAACACATGCTGCTCACCAGGGTGTGGTGTGCTTAAAGCATGTATAAATGTAGCCACTTGTTCTCTTTTTGTGATGGGAGTGCACAAAAGAGACAAAAAACCCAAACCCCAGCCCCCCTGAGCCTCAGGCCTGGTGGAGCTGGATGTTGCAATGTTAATTGGCAGCACAGCGGTCCAGGTTCATTAACAGTGTTTGTTCACAAGCTTGTGGGCGTTGCCCCCCCAGCTGCCCCTGCCCTGAGATGGTGGCTGGGACCTGACCAGCACAGCTCCAGTTGGGCACAGGATTATTAACCAGCCCCAGGATGTAGCATTTCAGCAAACTGACACAACCCTCCAGTCTGTGTTACCAGATGTGGAAGGTGGCGTTGAAGACGTTGGTTTTCTTCAGTTTGTCCAGCTGCATCTGGGCGTAGCGCATTTGGTTTTCCACACTTTTCAGCTCATCATCCAGCTCCAGCTGCTGCCTCTTGAACTCACAGTATTCCTTCTGGTACCTTGCAATAAAAGCAAGACAAGAAACACTGAGTTTACAGAAGACAAACTGTTTGCATGGTTTTCTTGGTCTGACCAACTTCAGCTATGCATAGAACAAGAGGCCTGCATGTGACCATCATGTACAGTTATGTACAGATTTCTGTACGTTATAAACTCATGAATCTGTTGGTAAAATCCTGCCAAAAGCTGCAGTGGATGGTGACTCACTGAGCCTCCTCCTGCTCCAGCCGCTCTGCCTCTGCCCGGACTCTCTCAAAGTCCTCGGCCACAACCTTGCGGTTCTTCTCAACATCCTCCAGCTCCTGAATCAGCTGCTCTTCCTCCAGGGCAAGTTCTTTCAGTTCTGTCTGCAGCTTCTCCTTATCATCCTCATTCATTTGTTCCAGGATCTCCAGACATCTCCTAAAGGAAAGTGACAGGATTACCAGAACAGGGATCTCGGGAAGCCCCCACCAGCGGTCGCTGGCTCCGCGGCAGCGTGCAGACGTGAGCAGAAATGCAACCCTGAGCTCAGGTGCCCCACGTTAAGGCTGAGCTTTCCGTGTGGACACTGCACCATGAGTGAGGTACACATGAGGGAGAGCAGGGGAGCAACATGGTGACCCAGGATCTGGTGCTGTCAGTAACCATCTCCGAGGAGGCTGGACCAAGGCTCCAAGCTAAGGCAGCTCGCTCTGGGCTCCCCTCTGGATCACTCACTTGTAGTTCTGGCACTCGTTCTCAGTGATGTTGAGCTGTGTGTCCAGCTGGTCGAGCAGTGTGTCCGTGCACTCCTCGCACAGGGGGTGATCCACGTCAGTCTGCCCAGACATGATGTCAAAGAGGTCCCCAGTGACCTGTGGGGAGAGCTCAGCATCAGCTGGGCCGAGGGCAGTGGTGGCTGCCGGGCTGGCAACAGACGTGCTTGTGCTCCCTCAGTCGGGAAGGGGGCTTCTGCAGGTCAGATCCTGGTTTGAATCGTCTGTCCTGCTCAGCTGCTCACGTGCAGGGCTGCAGGCAGCCTGGCTTTGCAGGACATCCAGAGAAACGGATGCTCCCTGCAAAAGTATGAGTTTACCAGCTGAGGTGAAACTTGCCTTCAGCCTCCGGCTGAGGTTTTCCATGGTGCCGCCATCCGACGCCTCCCCGATCAGCGTGAAGCTGTTGGCGCTTTCTGTGGACATCATCCTTGGGAAGAAGTTGAGGGAGGGTCTGAGTGCCGAGGGCCCGGGGCAGGGGGCTCGTGCTTGGCTTAAAGCCAAGAGCAGCTGAGGAGCCAGAGGGGAGGGCACGGGGAGGTGTCGCGGAGGGAGCGGGAGCCGCGCTGCGGGTCAGCGCTGGGCTCATCTGCAGCGCCCTAAATGCGGCGTGAGGTGCGTGAAACGGCCGCGCTGGGGGGGCCGGGCCCGGGGCCCCTCGGGGCAGGGGCAGCGCG